GTTCTTTCAAAAATCCCTGCTGTTCTGATCTTTAACATTGTTTTTAATGATCACAGTCTGGTTGTGGTCTTAACTAATTGTCATCCATAAATTGTTAAAGGATATTTCGGCTTGTAATAGAGATATTGTAATCTACTCTAGTTTCTTTATCTACCGATCTTCAACATATTGATCACTGACAGATTTTTGTTTAAAGTAAGATCGAACAAACGGTTCAATAAGAGATCAATCATTTATAAAAATTTTTGGGAATCAGTTTGTTTTCATAGGCTCAAATAAAAAGTTTTATTTAATCAATTTTGAACTATTCTTCAAAAAATCTTTGTGATCACATCGTTAGTCATCAAATACTGTAAATATTTGCCATGATCACTACTTGGTTGTTGTCCTAACTAACTATTAAGGCAATTTCTTTATCTACCGATCTTCAACATTGCTTTTCTGCACACAATAACATTGATCACTGACAGATTTTTTTATATATTAAGGTCGAACAAACGGTTCACTAAGAGATCGACCATTTTATACAAATATTTGGAAAACTCTTTAAGTTTTTTTTATCAGGATCGAATAAAAAAGTTTTATATAATCAATTTGGATCAATTCTTCAATAAATCTTTTTGTTCACATCGTTTGTCATCAAATACTGTAACTATTTGCCATGATCAACACCTGGTTGTTGTCCTAACTAACCATTAAGGCAATTTCTTTATATACCGATCTTCAACATTTCTTTTCTGCATAAAGGAATGTTGATCACTGCCAGTATTTTGTCCAATTTCTTTATCTAACGATCTTCAACATTGCTTTTCTGCATAAAGGAATGTTAAGCAAATAAAAGCGAACATTTTCCACTAAGATATCGTTCAGTTTTGTTTTTTAGGTTCTGAAACTGTGAGCAAATCGGAGTTATAATTAATAAGTTTTAAAGAATTCTTTGTAAATCTCTTTGATCACATCGTTTGTCATCAAATACTGTAAATATTTGTCATGATCACCTTCTGGTTGTTGTCTTAGGTTCAGCAAATCAGCTTCTATAAAAACACTCTGAACTTCATGAAAAATTCAAGAAAAACTCGTCTTATAATTTAGATATTATGAATTGTTGCCATTTCTTTATCTACCGATCTTCAACATTGCTTTTCTGCACACAATAACATTGATCACTGACAGATTTTTGTCTAAATTAAAGTCAATGAAATGAAAGCAAAAATATTTCTTTAAAAATCGACCGTTTTTCATAACTGTAATGGAAATGATCTTCTGAATAAGTGATCAAATCGGATTACAAAGTTTCATTAAGTAAACTTTGATCAATTCTGATCTTCATTTCTGTAAAATTGCAAACTTTTCTAAAAAAAACTTTACAAAACTAAAATTATCCCAAAAATCTGTTTGAAAATTATGCAGACAAGAGTGAAGATCACTAAAAGATCCTTATGAAAAATTTTTAATAAACCAAGTGATCGTAAATAAAAGTACTCACTCAACTTCTTAGTAGCCTATTCCCATCACTGCAGTTTACAATAACTTTCCTTAATACCCACACTTTTATGAAACTAAATGTCAATATGCCAATAAGTTTTTTTCTCTCTCTCTCCCAATCACTTTGATTGATCTGCATTTGATGGCCTGCGTAAAGATGAAACACGACAGCATGTTGTGAGATAAAAAAATGCAAGTAAAAGAATTTATGATCGAACATCAATTTGTAATAATTATGGCACACCTTAAATGTTGTGGTTTTAAAGAGAAATGCGTCTAGAAACAAAAAATAAAGTGATAGCTTTAGTTATGACAGCAGTGACAGTGTCTGAGACACATGGTGATGGAGACCTGAGAATTCTACAAACATATAGCACTAAACTAAACAATTTATGACAAATTATTATCGATCAACATTAAGTAACTATTTATATGAAAAAAAAGTATTAAAACAATTTCTAACAACATTATCATCTTCATTATTATTACTATTGAACTTCATTGAACAATTTAACGACAACAGCATAATTGTGCAACAGACAAGTGATGTCGTGATGTGTTGCCTATCAACGTTTGAATGACAATAGTTTGTATGTAATTTATAAAATGGTAATAGATATTTTTCTATATAGTGAAAATAACAACGATTAATTTTTTGTTGGATGGGAAGGAGGGTTTGTGCCTTCATTCGTTTGTCAAAACATGTAAATTGAAAAATTGTTTAATAGTGCAGGCGTTGAGATGTATACAAGTACTTTATAGATAAATACTAAGTATGGAAATAGTATTCAAGTGAAAAAAGTATAAAACATTTTGTGCTGAGTCAGCATTAAGTGCAAATGATCGATGATCTTAGATCAACTGTCAGTTAAAAATGCATACAACTCTCAGTGAAGTATGCAGGCATAAAATTAAATGTACTAAAAACAATTCGTAGTAAATTTTAAAATGCCTATAGGGCCAGGTAGTGTAGTGTTTGGTGATAGTGTTGCTATAGTATTTGTTTCCCTACTAATTGATTTAGTGATCTTGTCCATGCTTGGGATTTCTGAATGAATTAACTCATTCATTTATTTAATTATTTGATTTACAAAGAAATCAATTTTCATTGAGGAATCTTTGACCTTATGGTACTCGAATTTCAGACGAAATTGTAACAATCGATCTCTATTTTTATAAAGTTTTCGATCGCTTTCGAATGCTGTAAATTTAAATGCTTTAGTGGCGATATTACGGTATTCGAAACTGATCGTAATATCATCGATTTTATATAAAGATTTCGATCGCTTTCCAATGCTTTACTTTTCTACTAGATCAAAAGATCGTGGATCGATCTTCATAGAATTGAATTTGGTTTGAAAATTTTAATCGTCATTGGTAGATATCGGCTAACATTTATATAATTTCAATGAAGATTTCGCTCGATTAAACCCCTGATTGTTAGAGCCTGCGAAAATTTCGATCTTGAATTTGATTGATCAGTGCCTTGATCAATCTTCATAGACTATACTTTTGTGAGAAAATTTTAATAATCATAGGAAGATATTGATCAAACTTAATATAACTTAAATGAACATTGTGATCGATATTGAATGTCCCATTTTATTCTCTGATCATAAGAGCCTAGGTCGATCTTCATAGAATAAACTTTAGTGGCAACAATTTTAATAATTATAGAATGATATGAACCAACCTTAATAGAACTTAATGGAAATTTTGATTGTTATTAAGTTCTGTAATTGGCTCTCTGATCGCAAGAGTGTAGATCGTTTTTTGTAGACTAGTTTTTGCTGGCTAAATGGTCAAAATCATGTAAAGATATTGGCCAACCTCAATAGTATATAAATGGAGATAGCGATCAATATCGAATTCCCCTAAATTGCTCCTTAATTGTAAGAGCTTCCATCGATCTTCATAGACTAGACTTTACCGGGAAAATTTTGACCAAAACAATATTATGATTTTCATTTAAATTAAAATTTTCCCAAATCATCATAAGAGACTGGATCGATCATTAGAATTTTTTGTAGAATTGAAATGGACAATTCGATCTAGAATTCGTAATTTGCTTCCTGATCGTAAGATATCAATTTTTATAGACTATTCTGAAGATATTGGCCAACCTGAATAGAATATAAATGAAGATTGAGATCGATATCAAATGGAGATTGTGATCGATATCAAATCCCGTAATTTCTTCCTGTTCATAAGAGCAATATAATTAAAATGAAGATTTCGATCTCGAATTTGTAATTTTCTCACTGATCGTAAGAGTCTAGACCGAATTTTAAAGATCAGTCTTTGGCAGGACAATAAACAATTAAGGACAACATCAATAGATCTTTATAGACTTTACGAGTCTAGATCGATTTTTATAGACTATTCTGAAGATATTGGCCAACCTGAATAGAATATAAATGGAAATTGAGATCAATATCAAATGGGGATTGAAATCGAAATCAAATCCCATAATTTACTCCTGTTCATAAAAGCCTGAGAAGGTATCTTTTAAAAGCAATATAATTAAAATGAAGATTTCGATCTCGATTTTGAAATTTGCTCACTCGTAAGAGTCTAGATCGAAGTTTATAGATTAGTCTTTGATGGGAGAATGATCATAAGGACAACATCAATAGATCTTTATAGACTCTACCTTAAGAAGAAACTTTAAGAAAAATATCGGCCAAAATCTATATAATTTAACTAGAAATTGCGATCGTTATTGAACTTCGTAATTTGCTCCCTAAGAGTAATAGCGTAAACTGATCTTAATAGGCTAATTGATGATACAATTCTAGTAATCAGGCAGTTTGAAGACATCTTGTATAATTAGAATTCTCTGCAAGGTAGGGTGTTTACAAAGTTGTTTATAATATCCAATTGTCTGCAACTTATAGATTTCAAGAGCAGCGCCAGTAAAATGCTTCAAAGACGGCGTAAATGTATGCTGATTTAAAAATAATCACAAATGAAATGAAAAATAATCCGCATTTCCTATTCTGGCTAAAATAAAATAAAATTATTTTGTGTTGTTAAATAGTGAAGTCTCCAGAAAGAATTATGGGCCTTAATGTAATAATGTCTATAGGCATGTAAAACACGAAAAAAAAAACACAGTGAGCATTTATTGCAGTTGCATTTAAAGTGCATGCGGAGTTGCAAGACTGAAATAAGTTGTAATAACAAAAAAACCATTGTAAATATCACGTCTCTATAATGTTGGGGTGTTCTTTTTAGATCCCATCCATAGGCACTTGCTAACAGAGCCATACAAAACAAATATCACACACAAACACACACACACAAAAAGAACAAGTAAATGAAATGATGATGATCACTTGATCACACTCAATGTTCAACACTAAACCAATGAATAGCTGACTAACGAAGTTTGAAATTTGTTTAATTTTTCATTACATTTTATTATTATTATTGCCACTACATGACGAGATGAGACCATTAAGATCGAAAATAAACTAACAATGGAATTTTTATTTTTATTTCTTTACTTGCAGGCCAAAAACTAATGTGAACACAACAGTAGCAGTCTCAGTAGTACTAGTGTTATTAGTTGCAACAATTGAAGCGTAACGTTAAGAATAGCAACGGGTCCCGACAGACAAACAGACAAATCTATTAAATAGTATAACAACAATGACTACAAAAGAATTAACTATGGAGAAATCAGTTCTAACAGATAAAAATAATACTGCTGTATATCAACAGACCACAAAACCAAAAAAGAAACGGAGAGATAAAAGTGATTTGGGTCCAGATTTTGTGGCACCCGATGGCGGTTGGGGTTGGGTGGTATGTTTAGCCGCCGGTTTCAGTAATGTAAGTATATAGTTATATGCTTATATAAGATCAATTAATATTAATAATTTCCTTATTATTTACAGTTCTCCTTATTTCCCGCCCTGCAACAATATGGTCTCATTTATCGAGATCGCATGAAAAATTTGGGTTTTGATGCCAAACAAACCACCACTATAGTTAATGTTGTGATGGCCATTTCCTCTTTAACGGGCTTGGTAAATGGTGCCATGTTTAGAAGGTTTACTTTTAGACAAGTGGCTTTAGTGGGCAGTCTTTTGGGTTTTGTGGGTATTTTCCTGTCAGCATTTTGTGTACAATTTTGGCAATATGTGGTGTGTTTTTCCAGTATTTATGGTGAGTCCAAATCCACTTAAAGAAATTTCTTTTTTTACTAATTTTTCCCCCTCCTTTTGCAGGCATAGGTTTGGGTCTGTGCATGGCAGCTAGTGCTTTGGCCGTAAATACCTATTTCAAAAATAGCCGTCGTAAGGCTACTGGTTTCTCTTGGACTATAACCGGTTTGGGTCCCATTATATTCCCTTACTTTTCCACCGTTTTAATGTACAACTATGGTGCCCAAGGCTCCATTTTGGTTTACTCTGCCATAGCTCTTAATGCTTTCCTGTGTGCCTTAACTTATCAGCCTGTTTTACGTCATGTAAAAAAACCTGAAAAAGAAAAGTTGGCCGAAACTAATGGCAATACCTTACCCAATACCGCTAATGCCAATGACAAAGAACAAGCCGAGTTTGAGTGCAAATATTGCCAGTATCAACGCAAGGGAAAACGTAGCATTTTCTCTTCACAATATCTCTTCAATGAAGATGATCCTGAAAGACCTGGCTATGAAATTACTGAACCGGCCACACCCATGTTGGCTAGAGCTAATGATGGTTGGTATGGCTCTAAAATGTCTTTGGCCTCGGAAAAAGTGCCTCGCTATAGACCCTCAAAAGTATTAAAACGCCAATTGTCCAGACGTGATGGTGGCGAGGCGGGACATGAGGAAACTCCAGAAGAGGCTTCTTTATATAAACCCAATTATTTCAATCGTGAAAGAGAAGATGAAGATCGTTATGCTAGTAAAACGAGCATCTATTCTAAACCCGGTTTTGATGAATTCCGCTGTACTTGTGCCGAGGAAAAGGCTTTACTGCAGAAACTAACCGAGGAAGAGAAAAAGCTGGAGGCAGCCAAACTACAAGCGGCCATAGAAGAAGATGAACGCATAAAAAGTAAAATGACTATAGGTCAAAAAATAGTGAAATTTTTCGATTTAGATTTATTAAAAGATTTCACCTTTGTCAATCTGGCCATGGGCATGACTATAATGATGTTTGGTGAAATGAATTTTTCGGTCTTGACACCCTTTATCTTAAACAGTTTTGGTTATTCAGATGGTCAGATATCTCTGGCCATGTCTCTGTTGGGAGGCATGGATATAACCGTACGTTTTTTGGCTCCTTTTGCTTTGGAAAAAGTAAAATTGGATAATCGTGTTTTATTTGCCTTTGGCATTATAGCCATTTCTATAGGTCGTGTTATAGTAACCATAACCGATTCCTATAATGTAGTTATGGCGGTATTTGTTTTGATCGGTTTCGGTAAAGGTTTTCGTACGATTTTCTCACCTTTAATTATACCCAGTTATGTGCCATTAAATCGTTTACCAGCCGCCTCCGGTTTACAGCTGATATTTAATTCAATATTTTCTTTTGCCTTTGGTCCCATTTTGGGCATAATCACCGATGTCTATAGTTATAGAGTAACTATACATTTTATTAATGGTCTTACTAGTATGGCTCTATTGTTTTGGCTGAGTGAGTCTATGATTCGTAAATGGTTAAAGAAAAGATCCCAGGGAGCTCAAGTTTAATTCAAGGCGCATAAAGAGTTTAGTGTTAAACCTCAAATAAAGCTTTAAAAGCTGTTACTTACAAAAATAGAAAACCTGTCTACTTAAATGTGCTACAAAATTATATTAAGAAGAAATATATATTTAGACCCTAGAGTCTTCCTTTATTTATTGTAATATATATACATATATATAAAATAAGATTTAGAGAATTCAGTTAAAAGGCAATTGTGGTTAAATGTTGTTTTACATATAAATTAAGTGCAATATTTAAAACAAATCTTTTAACCTTTCTATACCCGCTTGGGTTCTGTGGGCCCGAATTTTAACCAATTAATTTTTTGAATTAGTTTTTATAAGTTAATTTATATAGTTTTCATTAAACTTTGTATAGTATAGCTAGTGCAATAGTCTTACTCTTTTTGCCATGGGTATAGAAAGGTTAAGAAAAACTATTTGATTTGAACGGAACACTCCCACTTTTCGTAGTGGATACAAAAAACCTAAAGGCCTTTTACGTTACAATTTATCAAGGGTTTATAAGATATATTTATACCCTACATCACTTTAGTGGGGAGGGTATATTGGGTTTGTGCTGATATTTGTAATGCACAATAATATTGGTCCTATACCCACCTTTAAGTATACCAATCGGCTTATAATCATTTTCCGAGCCGATTTAGCTATGTCCGTCCGTCTTGTAATTAAACTACAGGTCGCATTTTTGAAGATAATTCAATGAAATTTGGTACATGCTATTCTATTGTCTCAGTGACGAAGCCCATTGAAAATGGTTATGATCGGTCCATTATTTCACCTAACCCCCATACAACTGAACCCCCGTAAAGGGCTTGTAAAGGTCTTGTAATCAAAGTACAGGTCGCAATTTTGAAGATAATTCAATGAAATTGATTGCACATGATCTTCTATTGTACTAGAGACGAATCCTATTGAAAATGGGTAACATCGGTCCAACATTTGACCTAGGCCCCATACAACTGAATCCCCCCGATTAGGGCTTTTAAGTTCATAATTATGTTCAATATACTCGTATCTCGACAAAAAGCTGCAAAACCAAGTTCTAGTACTACCCTTCATAACCCTAATGAATTTTTTGACCCTAGCCCCTATACAAAGCCCTCTTCAAAATATGACTGAGACAAGATACAATTCAACTTAAATGATTTATTATGAACACTATATCAAAAAATTTTTTAACTAATGTAGGGTATTATATGGCCGGCTTCGCCCGACTATAACTTCTTACTTGTTTTATTTAAATTTAATCTATTAATCTTTGATAAATTGTTATGAATAAGAATGGGTTAAGTCCCATTTGGCTTAATATTAGACTCCGTGCGGGTTCGTAGTGGAAAATACCGTGACAACTTTTATAACAAATATTTTTACTTATTAAAGCTCTCACTTAAGCAAAGTTCAATTATTAAGTTACTCAGAAATTTCAATAAACTGCAGTTAACACATTTTGCCTTTTAACTATATTTGTATTAAAAATTTTTAAATACGTGCAGTTTAACTAATATTACTAAATATGAGACTTACTTAAATAGCTAGTTAGTACTAAAAATAACAACAACAAATTGTATAATAAAATTTTAAATATATTTTTATAAATAAATGCTTTTTAGAGCAATATATTTTTATATTTATATAGCATATTATTTAATAATAATAAACAAAAAAACTACAAAAAAATTTCTATAGTTTATAAGTTTGTTAAATTTAAGATAAAATTATACACCGACATGAATATATTTTGTAAAAAAAAAAACAAATTATTTTAATGAATAAAACAAAAATAAAAAAATTTAATACAAAAAAACCCTATTGTTACATGGAATTTTTTTTTTAATTAAATTTCCCTTACAGACTAGAACCACTCAGTCCAGTCTCAACAAGTGGTTGTGTTATTTACAATGACATGCTAGAACATGCGCAGCTTTAATAACAGTTCTCAGGGAGTTGATATTTAGTAAAGATATCTCTAATGAAAAGAGTGTAAATTCTAAGGGATAAAAATTACACTCTTTTTATTTGAGACATTTTCTTTTTTTTCGTTTTTAATAAAATTTCTATAGTTGTCAACTATAGGTATTACAACAATAATACTAAACAATTATATTTTTATAGTATTATTAATGAAACAAAACACAGAGAAAAATTTTCGCAGTAGTCAGTTGAAAGATTTTGAGCACTAAACATGTCAATTTAGTAGAATAGTTAAAGGAAAAAATTTAATTAATTAGTTTTTGTTTCCTTTTTGGTTTAAAATAAAAAATATAATATATTATTAAAAAAAGTGTAGAATTCCCCCAAAAAAATCTCGTGCGCAAAAGTTTAACAGTTAACTGAGAAAAAATATAACCAAAGTTACAACAATTAACAAATATTTACATAGATTAATCACAAAATTACAACAATTTATTTGAACAAAAAAAATCAATTGCATATTAAAAAAAATACTTCTACAGTAATAAATAAAAGTAAAACATGTGATGTGTTTTAAAAACAAATAAAAATTATAAAACTATTAAAATAATAAAAAAAGAAAAATTCATCTATAATATTATTAAAACTCAACCTTGAACTTGACCACACACTATATATCAACAAATGCAGGAAGAAATGAAGAAGTACGCCAACAATTAACTCAATTAAATTTTATAAATAAATCAAACGAGTAAATAAAAATAGAGGGTGTTTTATGCAAAAATAAAAATAAAATTGAGAGAAAATTTAAATAAAATAAAAATCAGAAAAAACAATAAAATGACGTAGAAAATTATATGTAAACAAATTGTACTCTTGTACCGGTCTTACATGGCTCTATAAAAACTCTTGAAATTAACAATTCAGAAATTGTTAAAAAAAGAGCATATTTTTAAGAATTTTTGGTACATTTTAGCAACACGTGACTTTTTTTCTCTCTACTTGTTAATAATAATATAAATAGTCTACAATAACAAAAAAAAAACATATGTTTTTCTTAAGGCATAGTTTTGGCAACCAAATTATTTTGTGTTTCCCAAAAAATAAATTTAAAACAATAACAAAACATCACGATTCTAAAATACACTAGTATGGGTCGAATTTTGAAAGCCCCTTCCTTAAATGATGAAAATATTAAACATTTTTAAAGTTGTGCCCAATCGAAGTGGAAAGCTATTGAATAGTGGTTATCGATTATTTGCATATTTTTAGGGTGTCCCATGATAAAAAAGTAACTATATTTTAGACTTTAGTATTTGTCGTATTGCCGGGGTAATGAAGTGCTACCAGGGCCCAAATTACGGCATACGATATAGATCGAAATCTCAATAGAATCTAAATGGAGATTTCGATCGATATCGTATGCCATAATTTGGCCCAGTACCTCTAGTCTGCCGGGACTATAAACTAGTGATAACATTTCACTCCCTGGCTAGACCTTGTATGATTTAACATGGGGTCTAAGTAGAGAACCACATAATCTGGTACTTGCGGCTGGCCAGTTGCCCGCATTACTTGTCCCGTCAGTTGGTTGAGGTTCCTTCGGGATCCACGTAGTGGCTATTGTTTAAACCCAAATTCGCGGGAAGTGTTTGTTGCGGTTAAAAGACTGATGCATGGTAAAATCTATATTTCGGGATAAGTTCGGTGCTGTTGTCGACTGACAGATACTCCACAGAGGAGTGACTGTGGGACTAAGCGTTGGAAATAAGTTGTTTTTATTTGTATATGAACAGGATGATTGTAGGGGTATACGGAACTCATCCGCCCTTATGCCTACAGTAAGTCTGTCGTATGTTTTTATTTTATGAATGTGTGGGATAATAAAAAGTGTGCTGGGCGATGGTTGAAAGGTATCTTATACAAGTAATACCATTGAATTTTCCTTCCTTGTCCAGGTATGTTCAGAGTAAACTCTGATCACACCAGAATTACTATCGTGTAAAAAAAGTCTCGGATTATTTGATAAATTCGTACTTTGGTCTACCGGTTTCGTCTCTAGGTGCTGTTGCCGACTCAACAGATGCCATCCCATCTGCGTGGTTATAAACAGAAGTGATGTTTTTGCATCTCGGAAGTTAAGCAACGGGGCAGCAATGGTCAGAGATTAGATAGAACAAGTACTTGGCCAAAGTGCACGTATGGACAGGAACTTCTATATACGTAAATTGCCACCTGCGTGTATGAAGCACAATGGGGAGATGGTGAATCGCTCACTGGTTGAAAAAGATCACCGTGAAATAGGTCAACACGGCAGGTGTTCACGTAAAGCACTTCGACATTAATACCCTCCTCTCGAAGGCATAATAATTCAACACTCAAATAGGTCGAGTCGAAGGTTTTTCTAAATAAAAAAAAAAAATATTTAAAAACTCAAATCGGCCTATATAACCTTATATAAACCTCGTGATTTTATTGGATAACATCACGAAGTTAATATCAAGAAATAA